TATAGTGCACATGTACTTGCTAGAGAAACAGAAAGCAAGAAATCAACCCCCTCAGGGGGGATGGCCACACTGCAATCCTGTCTCCTTCATTCTTCTCTTGGGGTCTTGGGCATACATATACATGTGCCTGGTGTGAGTTTTAAGCCATGGACTCGAACCACAGTCGACTACATGGGAGTCTAGCAACGGTAACATTGTGCCATCTGCTGGTCCCTTTTGTTTTTATTTTTGTAATAAATGATAATATCAGGCTGACTGATGAAACTGGAACAAAGTCTGTAGATTACAAAATAACATTTACTCAATTTAAATTTCCCTATTAAAAAAAAAAAAGCTATACGGTGTGTATGCTCACCAGAGAGAGACAGGTAAGACAGGAGGAGAGAAAGTGAAAAAGCACTCTACCCCCACCAGTGGGGTTGGCAATCCCTTTTCCTCCATTTACCTCTTGGGACCTTGGTCAGGTATGCACAAACACTCAGTGTCTTTTTCAAGTTACTAGGTCTGGAACTTCAGTTTTTTCAGGATTTGAAATGCACAGTTGGTCATGTGAGATCCAGCAACCCTAACCACCACATCACTCTCTGGCCCCAATTACCTGATTTGGATCACTGTATTGTGGCTATATAAGACAATTCTTTAACTTTAGGAAATAGATAAAGAGGTAAGAATGAGAGATTGAGAAGAACAAAACAAATGTAGAAAGATATTACTATATGGGGAATCTGAGTTAAAGTTACCTGGAATTACTCTTGTTTTTTGTTTTGTTTTTGAGAGATTTTTGCTATAGGGTACATATGCTTGCAGAGAGACAGAGAGAGATTGAAAGAAAGAGAGAAATCACACCCCAGGGGGATGGCCATGCTATAATCCCTTCCTCTTCATTCTCCTCTCCAGATTTTGGGCACACACACATGCACACATGCCTGGTGTGAGTTTCAAGCCAGTGGGTCAGGCATTCAAACTGTGGTTAAATATGTGGGAGTCCAGTGTCTTCACCACTACGCCACCTGCTGGTCCCAGGTACCCGGAATTCTTGTAACCTTCCTGTAAGTCTAAAATTATGTTTAAGAAAAACCTGCTCTATATGTTAAAGTCACTTAAAATCATTCTCCTTTTGATTATGCTTTCACTTTGTAATACAGTAAGGTTTATTTGTTTTAATTAGATTTTGATGTAATTTGATGTTTTAATTAAATAAAACATGTACAGAGGT